TTTTTTTTTTTTTTTTTTTTTTGTGATTTGAAGGTACGGGGGTGTAGAAGGGCCCCGCACCACCCCCCTCCCGCCCTCATCCCTACCGAACCGCCGCCCCCGCGGGCGTAAACCCCATGAACGCCCCCCGTGAACGGCCGTTCATGGGATTTAGGCCCGGTGACCGGCCGGTCACGGGTTGGTGACCGGTACCGGTCACGTTCACGGGGCAGGCACAGGTTCTCTCAAAACAAACACACCAAAAAATATCACAACTCCCAGCAAGGATCTGACCTGGATTCCGAAAGTCGCAAGCGAGGTCGACGCGGAACTGCAAAACAAGAGATCCCGTCACCCCAAGTCCCAAGCACCAAACAGCCCCTTGACCCTCCCCAATGGTAACAAGGTTCCAACAGAGTACACGCCCGATGCCATCCGAGGAAAAAGGATGTCGCCGAAAGGGTCGTCCGTGGAAGAGGCCGCCGTCGCGAGTCAATCAAGAAAAGTCGTCGTCGAGAGTCGATACCGAAGTCTGAAAAAGTCGTCGAGGAAAGTCGCTGCCGAAATCCGAAAAGGTTGTCGTCAAATGCTGGTGCCGAAAACCCAGAAAAACTCATCAAATGCCGATGCAGAACCACGCTGAGCCTGCCGCTGCCTGTCACGCTTGTCCTCCTTGGCCCCTAGGTCATTGAGCCAACCGAGGCCGTGGGAGGAAGCTCATCCCCGACAACGACGCCAATCTGTCGGCCGGTTCTCCCCTGATAGCCGCTAGCTGCAATCGGACCTAAAGATCGTGGTTCCCAGTGCCCCTTGTTCCCTACAATGTCCCCTGTAGGGTCAACCGCCTGCCTTCCATCCAACCTAGGCGGCCTTCGAATTCCTGATTTATTTCTTTTGTGACCTTGTTCCGAACAACGTTCACAGCGTTAAAAAAAAATGGACCAAAAGACCGACTAGCGATCACAAAAAAAAAAAGGGAGTAAGTCGAGTCTCAGACCGGCGTTAGACAGTCATTGCAAATGTAGATAGACCTCAAAGAAGTCCGACTTTCGGCAAACGAGCTCAACGCCACTGCGAAAGAGGTTTCGAGGGAAAGCGCGAACCACGAGTCTGACAACACCTTACTTGAGTCTCCCTATAAAAGGAAGAAAAAATAAATAAATAAAAAAATCCTGACACCCCCCCCCTTCTTCAACACCTCTCACCCTCTGTCTTTTATCTCTCACAAATTTCGAACCTCGAACCGAACAGCAGGGCCCCAGTGGTGCGATGTCAGTGTGAACAGAATGGAACGAGCCACGCGCATCGCAGATACCCAGGCACAGGGTGGTTAGTTAGCAGTCTAGCGCAGCCGAGCGAGACCCAAACAACAGACAGTGCTGAGCTCCTCCGGCCAGGACCCGAAGCAACCAGACTCGTCCTCCAGAGATTCCGAAATGGCGTGAGAACCTGGTAACCCGAGATCACTTGTAACAGACGAACAGAAGCAGAAGCACGTAATCCTAGGCAGAAGCTCGTAAAGCGCGGAAGCTCGCTACTGAGAGGCTTGTAAACAGTGAGCTTGTAACCAGCGAGCTCCGCGAGAAGTTCGTAACCGGCTAGAAGCTCGTAACCAGCGATCGCGCGTGGAAGCTTGCGACCGAGGGGTTGAGAAAGCTCGTAGTCGACAAACACGTATTCAGTACTCACTAAGTGCCAGCTCGGTCGAACCGAAGACTCATGCAGGCCGAGAACCTATAGCTTGAAACGCACGGACCACGATATCGAACAGCGACTCCACGGAGATTGAGACCACGGGGCTGCGGCCTATTCCTCCGTGTCGTCCTCTCTCTTCTTTACTACTTCCCTTCCCCCCTTCTCTCCCTACCTTTCCCCCTCTTGCCTTCCCTTCTTCCCGGTCTCTCCCCCTCTCTCCTTTTCTTTCTCTCTTTTTATCTCTTCCCCTCTCTCTCCCCCTCTTGTCGTCTCCCTCCTTTTCTCTTAGAGAAAAGCGGAGACCTGCCCCCGCAGTCCCGTGGCCTGAGCGCGGACGAGGACCCAGACACTAGCTTTGATTGCCGATGGGAGAGTCATTTGAGTTGCCGTGGTCGCTCGGAAGGCACCCTCCCCGCGAAGAGATCCCTAGTGCTCTCCCCCTTGTATGTTTGCGCGACACCTCCTCTTCCTTGCACAGCTACGGACGACGAGCTCAGAGCTGCCGAGATCATGTGCCGGGACGACCCCCTCCTTTTACTTCGAGTATGCTTGTGTAGCGGAGCGAGCCGCTCTCCCTCCTTCTCCCCTCTGGTCTCGCTGCCCCCTTCTCTCGTTCCCTCGCGCCCCCTCTATTCTCCTCTTTCTCCCTCCCTCTCCCTTCTGTTCATTCGAGACCGGATCAGCTCGGTGTCCACTAGCGATCCGAACGCCAAGCCCGTATGCCAGTCACTGCGCTCTTGCTTGCCTTCCCTTAGCGCGATGGCGACCGACGCCTTCGTTCATTCCGTGCCTCCCACCGTGAGTCCCTGATCACCCCTGCTCACATTCCTGTCGGTCACGCCTACCACGCACCGGGCCGCGTGCGAGATCGAGTTCGCCGGTGAAGAGGCGTGCTTGTCCCGCAACCGCTGACCGATGCTCCCCTCTCCCTCCTCTCTCTCTCACTCTATCTCATCACTTGCTCTAACTCTCTCTGGACTTGCTCCGGATCAGACGTCGTTGCTTCGAACGACCTCGTACGCCAACAGCCTAGCGACCGTACTCTCCAGGCACCCGTGCGCAAGACTCCTCCGTTCGCCCCACCCCCTATTTTTCCGATCCATGTTCCTTTTATACTCTTTTCCTCTTGGTCGCTTTTCCCCAAGATTGCCTCTGTCGTGCCGCCAGCACTTCGTGCGGGAAGATTAAAAATTTCCGAAATTTTCGTGACTTTCTCGCCATGATTGCCGAGTGCTTCCTTCTCCGCCTCCCTCCCCTGCAATGTTCGGCGTGCAGGAGCCCGATCCTCCTCCCCTCCTTCTCCACCAATCCCAGTCGTGGTATCGCTGCCTTCTCGCTTCACCCCTCTTCTCAATCTGGTGTTCGGTCGAAGCTCCCCTTTCCTCATTTTCCCAGGTTACTCTTTCGCAACCACTTGCCACCTTTCTGATCAGGTTACATTGTTCCACGGGGCACGCCTGCTGGTCGATGCCCCAAGAAGCAGTTATCAAGATCATGTTCCCGCTCTTTCCTTCTTCCATGGTCGCCTTCCCTGTGATTTCTTTCTTGGCGCCACCTCAGCCTATGGTTCCCAATGCCTTTAGCCCCGGGCCGCCGAACCTGTTGCCCCGGCGTCGGATCCACCCTCTCTCTTCACCATTCAATCCCCTCTTTTCCTTATCTCGCGCCGGAATCCCCCTGTGCCAGTGTTCTTCTGGCCACTTCGTAACCCTTCCTTCCCTTCCATAATTTTCATCTTTTCGACTCCGTAACCGTATCTCCCGTTTGGCCATCGCAGCAACTTATCAAGGAGAGCAAGGGCGCGTTCTTACAACCGATTTGAAGTCCTCCTCCAGGATCCGTCCAGCTTGTTTTTCTTTATAATAATTTTTACCCCTCCTCCGTCTCTGGGTCCGATTTGAAGACCTCCATTCAGACCCTTATAGTAGCGGTCCCTAGGGCCGTCCTGTCTACCCCCCCCCTTTTTTCTGCTCGCCTCTCACCCTACTATCTTTTGTTTCCTCATGCTGTGGAGGCCGGCTCCCCCCTTGCGTAGTGGCGTGCCAACTTCATCCGTGGTATACTCCCTTTTTCACCAGGCAGGCCGAGATGGCAGCGTCCCGGGAGCCGGTCCCATGGTGGCTGATCTGACCGCCACTTGGCAGCGGCCGCCGCGGCCTCAGCGCTCGCGTTAGGCCGCATTCTCCTTTCAGCCCCAGGCTCTTCTTTACCCAAATGAGCCCTCCTCGTCCGTCGGTGTCTCGTTAGGGATTCTTCCATTAGTCCCTACGCCGGTCACCTCCCCCGTGTCTCTTGTTTCTCCCGTCGAGATCTCCCGGTTTTGGTCTGCCCTCGGCCCCATTTACGAACCAGCGTCGGCCGCCCATCTTCTCTTTTGTGCACATCAGTAAAACCCAAAAAAACCCGAGTTCCTCTAAACCCCCCCCCCCTCAGTCACATGCAACCAGAGTCCAAACAAAGAAAACAAAGAAGTAACACCAGAAATTTCCCTTTGTTTGGTGAAAGGA